TTCAGGAAGAGAGAAGCTTTGATATAGCAGTTCAACACAAACTGCAACAACCATTGTTGCTGAGTTGGGGCAATATAGCATTTAGTTTGCTAGAGATCCAAATTGCCTCTAATTCATGATGGTGCCACTCTGAAATGGGCCAGGTTAAGCTAGGAGCTACTGCTCAGAAAAAAAGTGGAGCATCTAGAACTTGGCAGTGGGAAATGGTCAAATAGCTGATCAGACAAGAAAGAGAGACTGCAAGCTCAGCCTTTGGGATCTGTGCAGGTTGGGCTGGAGAGAAAGCAGTGGAGGAACTTGGTGCTGTCTGGACAAAGACTTTGGATCTCTGATGGATGAAGCAGACATCTGTAGAGACTGAAGACAGGACTTTTGCGTGTCCTTTGAAATCCTGTTACTTAACTTCAAAGAGAACGTCCTTCTTATTCTTATTATCAGTTTCTTATGTTAATTAAAATAAGCTTAAAAAACCTGACTAGCTAGCTAATTGCTTAAATTACAACATCTTCCTTTGTGTGGCCTTAATTTGTGTTCATCAGTTGCTTCTGTTTGTCATAAATGTGATGTTGGGAGAGGTCTGCAACTTAACATTAAACCAGAAAAAGAAAAATGTAAAGGATATATTTAAACAGAGGCTGAATTACCACATATTAAGCATGTGATGATATCAGAGACTCTGTTGCCTTGGCTAGATTTAGCTAATTATTAAAAAAAGGGATATTAAATTATTACTGAAGAACATGGGAAGTTATCTTCCTCAGAATAAATCTCGCCAAAGACTTCAAGAAGGTTGTCTTAAATATAGTAGCATGGAAGAGAAGAATAGGTTTTATGAAGGATTTACAAAAGTGTAGATAAGTCTGCCTTTAGTTGATCTAAACATATGTTTAAGAGCACAAATAAGATGAAGTTGTTTATTTTTCTTTTTGTATCTGTTCAGAAAGCTAATGCAGTAATTGCTGTTAGCTTTACGAAACAGATAATTGAGTTTATGGCAAATTACTGCTCAGCCAAAAATAAACCAATTTTTTTGTCCTCTACATACATTGTCTCACTACTACTTACTACCTTTCCTATTAAAATAAAATACAGGTGCTCTCTCATGAAACACTGAGCTGTGTTCCAGAAAATGAGGTACTTGGAGTAAATCCCAAAGCAGAATCTCTGCAGCAGCTGCTTGTGCTGCTGGAGAGCCTAAACAGAGCAGTTAAAACAAACCTGTGCTCATCCTGGTGTGCATATGAACCAAAAGATAACAGATAAAGCCACCAAAGGTACATTAAAATCTGGAGGCTTTTACATAGAAAGATGGATCAAGTGAAAGATTTATTATTTCCATTCCAACTAATTGATTTCTCTTTCTTAAATTAGAGCAAAACCTCAATGCTACAATGTATTTCAACCCATTTGTTCTTAGCTTACAAATCAGAATGCTGTAATTAACTAAATTGAATGTTTCTTGAAGCTCTTTTAAATAAAAGACTAATTTGCTCACAATGCATTGGATAGCCTGTCTAAATTGGCTGGCATCCTTCCAGTTTCACAGCAGCTGAAATAATTATGGGAACAAGTATTCCAGATTTCCTATTTAGATTCCTCTGCTCTGGATGTCATAGAAAGGAAGAATGGAAGACCAAAGAAAAGTGATGAAAAATAGGGTTTTTTTCTGTAGCAGGGCAAAATGAACCCTGTAGAAAATCAGAGAATTATGGAAGTTGCACATCTTGAAATGGCAAAATCAATTTGCTATGTAGAATTCTTTCAGCATTTATACACTAAATGGCAAAGTTCCATCAACTATTCTTTCCTTAATCTTCTGGTAGCATCAACAGAGTGTGCAGGAAAAGCTGCTCACCTTTTAAATTGACTTTTTCACTGTGCTGTTTGACAGAATGACCAGCTGCCTATGTGAAACCTGTTAACTCTTTAGAAACAACTGCTACTAGTAGAGAATAAACTACTGTGGTTTATTTCCATTGGAAAGTGTATTCTACTTACCTATGGTTTAACTACCTAATATTGCATGAATTGCAAATAACTTTCTTTTTTAAACTAACACAGGTGGTTTGGCATAGATGGAGATCTATTCATAGATCTTGGTTGCTCTGGAGCAGAAGCAGCAAGAGATGATAAGAATGTTGAAGAAATGAGGAAGAATATTAAATGCAATTTAGGTGGTAAACAAATTATACACTGAAAAATTAGTTTCATTATCTTTATTATAGCCTATTGCCTTCATTTGCAATATTTGATCTAAGTGCATACAGGTACAACATTTCGTGATGTTTATAGATGTTTATAACAATTATCTCCTGAGATGATTTAGACAGAATCTTAGTTGTTTTTTAACAGCTGAAATTATTAGAAGAACAGAATGAAAATACATAGCAGTTGCTTAGCTAGATATGACGGTGTTGCTTTACACTGCATAAAACTTTGATATATCAGGATTTTTGAGTGTGTATGTAGATGATTATAAAAGGGGAATTCAATCTGTCCTGTAGCTGCTGTAGAACATTCTACAAGATTGCATTTGAAAATTAAAGCTAAAAAATAATTAAGGAGAAAAGTTTTTCAATATGGGTCTCATCCTGTTCAGTGTAGCTCCTTAGGAAAAAAGGGCAAGAGACTGAAAATTCCAATTTCCCGTAATAAAATTTGGTGATAAGTAACATAAATTGGAATATCATATTCTAAAATAAAATGAAATTGTATTATTTAAAATCCAATATAGTCAGATTAAAATATAATTCTTCTCAAGAGTTCCCTGCCTTAATATTTCTGTGTATTTCATGCAGCTTTTGTATAATTTAACTACTAGGATTACTTTTTAGCACCCTGTCTTTCTAATGCTAAAAAATCTTTGCAAACCTTAAAACAGGAATCTGACTTTTTTTATCATAATGTGCCAACCTCTGTTGCCCTGGTGGTAAAGTGAGAGCTATAGGCAAAGCACCTAGTCTCAAAATAGTTCAGTAATAACTGATTTAAAATACATCATCAGTGACCTGTGCCCCTCTACAATTCAAATGTTTTAATGCAGTGTTATTCTTTCCTCTTTAACTTTGGGTGGGAAGTGATTTAGGAGTTGGTTTCTTTGTGGGGCCTATTTCCAAAATATTTTGGTTCCCTAGCTAGATCTAGCTAAATAATGGTGTGAGAAATAGGAGAAATTAAGGATGGAAAGCAGGAAACCCTGCTGTCAAGCTGCTTTTTCTCACCCTGAAGTGTCATACTGTTTTGCACATGATTCCTCGACTGTCTCCACTTTGTCCTGGAGAGGGGAGCTGGTGGCAATCTGGCTTGTTCTTCAGCTAGTGTTTCAGGATGCTGGTGCTGAAACAGCACACAGGCATCTTTGATCTGTTCTGTCTTCTGGATTTTACTGAAGTTCCCTTGCAGTTACAGTGGGGAATGTTGTGTGGTTGGTTTTTCTACAGTTTCCATAATGGGCATTTCTTTAGATTCCTATGAATTTAAGTGCCTGACCAATCCTGGCAGTGTGTTATACCCAGCAGAGTGAGGGGTGCATATCTAAAATTAAGTGTTTTTAATGTTGATGCATCTATCTTTGTTTTCTTCTCTCTTCACATGCCTGCTGGCCCTGGTCTGTGTTGAGATGCCACAGAGGAGCTACAGAGCAGTTGCTTTTCAGATTAGTTTCTAGACAAGATGGTTGAATATGATGTATGCCAGTGTTTTAAATATATGGGGGTGTGTTTCTTTGTTTTAACATCTTTATTGACATGAAATAAGTTACCTCATGACAGACTTGCAAAAAATACATTTATGTAAAAATGTTTTAATTATTAGCACATAAAGTACCTTGTACCAATATGTAATTAAATATTGCCAATGGTTTGTGTATTTATTTATTTTGGATTAAGCCAACTGTGATTATGGCATTGGTGTTAAGATTATTTTGTAGCAACAGCAGTTACAGCAGTTTGCACTGAAATTACAAAAATGTGAAAATTTTGTACTAAAGTAAGTTTTGTCTTTCTCAGTGGGAAACTACAGGGGCAGTTCTCTATTTTTTAAATGTAGGGCAAAATACAACAGTAAAGTGTAGACTTATAGCAATTCTGTCTTTAACTGTTAAACAGTTCTGTACAGACAAATTTGGTTTTATTTCTTTGAATAATATTTTAAGTAGAACATGAATTCTGTAAATAGTGGAAGAAGCACGAGTCAGACAAAACATCTTTAATGAAAGCACTCAGCCTCTTTCATGCTCTGAATCTACCTTTATTATGTTAATCAAATTCCATGCAGTTCCCAGCAGGGGTATGTGAAAATTATTCATAAATTAATACAGATTATTTACTGCATATGAAGAAGCTGGTTTATAGGTCTTTGATCTTTGTCCTGGTACAGACATAGATCAGAGTAGTCATTAAGACTCTCTAACTTGTGTGGTGTCCCCTTACCTTGCTTGGATGTCTAGGAAGTGTCATGACAGGCAGGTGTGCCAGCCCCTGCCCACTGGGCACTCAAGTGTAGGAACTACCTGCTTTCTATTCCCAGGATGCATTTAAGTCTCTTCAACCCCAGTGTTCCCAATATAACTCAATTACTGATGTCTCCAGGGTACTATGCCAGGCTTTCTTTTGGGGAGGAATGAAGTGCATATCATTGGGGCTGGTGAGAGGAAATGAGAGAAGTCTAATTTACTTCTAGTTTAATTACTGATCTATTATAGATAGCTGGAGGTAACAAGCTCTTTAAATCATACCTCCTTATCAAAGCCACACTAAAGCAGTCCAAGTAAAATGCAGTGAAGAAACAGTGTATTGGAAAACTAGAAAAAGTGATGTTTGCCACTCTTCTTTCCCTGCAACACTCTTCTCTGTGTGTTCTCTGTCTGTGTGATGACCATAAAAGTTAAATACTTCATTTTTCTGTCTTAATTACTTGATATTTCACCAACCAAAGTTAGAAAAAAATTTTATGAGATTTCTGTGGGAACAGTATACATGCTATCCTCTGTTTTGCTTCAGGATAATGTTTTGAACATCATAAATCAAATAATGGATGAGTGCATTCCACATGAACGGGCCAACCGAGACTTTTGTGTTAAGTTTCCAGAGGAAATACGCCATGACAACCTTGCAGGACAGCTTTGGTTTGGAGCAGAAGTAAGTCTCTCATGTTTCTGTTACTTAGGGTGAATAGACAACTTTTTAATGGCATACAGCCAGGAGTTTAAAGTACATCTTAAAGACTTTTCTGAAAATGGTACGTTTAATTACAAAGCAATGTAAGCATTTTTGAGAACTTGTTCTGGATGCTAAGTGGAAGGGGATTCCTTAGCTATTGTTTTGGTATTGGTTGGACTAACAACATACTGGTTTATTTTCAGAATTGTCTGCTGTCATTATGACCACCTCTTAAACACTATTCTTTTGTGACTTACCATCTGATTAATATTCTTGCTTAGTTTTTTTTTATCCTGAGGAGCCATCTTGCATCTCATGCTTTGAAAAATTTTAGAAAGAAATAAAGATTTGTAAGGGAATTTTATCAGGATAAAAGCTTATCTCCAAGAAATTTAAATGCATGCTGTCATTTTAATGGTTATGTTGTGCTAAAACTCATATTAAATATACATTACTTTTCTGAGCTGTCATTTGTTGTGCATAGTTCAGCTCTTTTGTGTTGTATGCTAAAAATAGAATGATTTCTGTGCAAAACACTGAAGTCCACTTTTCTTCTTTTGCCTGGTTTATCTCAGAGACCTGCTTCTACAGCAACCTGTAGGAACTAGAGGTTTTTGTAGTGATAAGCTTTAATTTTTTTAACCAAGGAGGCATTAAGTGTCAGAAAAACCAGGAGAAACATTTAGTGTCAGAATAAAAGGATGTGATACGCAAGATACTTATTCATGACTACTAATGCCTGTTGGCTAAACAAAATAATAAAATCATGGTGGCATCTTTAATGATAAACATAATGTCTTCAGGTCTACTGTCTTGGGGGTGACATTAAGCACCCTGGATTTTTGAAGGTGGGGGGCAGGAGTGGGAAATACTCTAGACATCCCACTGCACAGCAGCATATTGTGTAGTTTTTAGCTTTGCCTCTTTTGTCTTTGAAGCAATCCTTTAGCTCCTGTTATTCACCACTCTTTTCTCCATCAGTTCCTCCTTTCTTTTTAGAGTTCATGCTGTCCATCGATAGTTTCCATCTTGTTCAATCCAAAACACCTCTATATGTTCTGTTTCTGAAACTCTGACAGTTCTTAAGTGCAGGCTCCTCTGAGTCAGGGAAGTCCCAGGTAGAGTTTACAAAATCAATTTGGTGTGTCAGTGCTTTATAATCCTGTCCTCAGCAAAAACAACAGGAGTTTTTGCTTCTCATTATCATGTGACTGTCACTGCCATCATCTAGGTGACACCATGCTCTCTTTTAAAATGCTGAGTCTGACACATGTCTTAACGGTGCTTCCTCAGTAGTTTGGTAGGAGAAGATGGGGTAATTCTTTCTGCAACCATCCATAGTTAATCCCTGTGAATCCCTGCATCCTTTCTTAGTGTAAGGGACTAACAAACTGCTACTACTGCCATAAACAGACAGGAAGCACTTCAGGGAGTTACTGAGAAAACCATGTCTTCTAGGAGAAAAAAAAAGTCTCCCTTTATTCACTGTTTGTGTTACAAAAACTAATGTTTTTTATTGTTTCCAAATTTGCTGGCTCCCAGTCAAACCAATAGGATAGAGAGACCTGTTGGTTTCAGAGAAAATAACCTATGTGATGAAGTAATGCTGACTCATACTGCTGTGGACATTGCCCTGTACATTCATGTAGTAAGGAAGATGGTACAGACAGTCATGAATATGCAGTTATGTGTCCTTGTCAGTGCAATCACTCTGAGTTCTCAGATTGAGTATCTATCAAGAGGTAAAACTTGCATTATCCACACTTTCCCATTATTGCTGCTTTGGCTGATGAGAGGTAACAACACGATCTTCTCTGAGTGCCCTTAAAACACAGATCAACCCATCAGGCAGCTGAGCAAGAGCTGGGATTGCAAGTGCCCTATACAGAGCTACAGAAATGCCTCTTGTCCAGGAGAGTGCAGGGGAGAGGGGAGTAACACAGAGCTGCAAATGGAGATTAAAATAAATAAATAAATAAATTTTGAGACTGGAACAACCTTGTATATTTTCAGTTAATTCGGTATTTCCATGAATACAGCAAATATTATTCATATCAGTGCTTGTTGTTTTCAAAATGTGTCCATGAAATAATAAAGCCAGCAGCAGAGATTATTCATTGGCTTATTTTTAATAGCAAGACTTCAAATAAGTTTTATTAATGTTCAACAGTGAAAATATACTTTTAATGCCTTTCTGAGCTGATTACAGGAAGTCAATGTATAAACCTTAAAGCAAGGACCATCAGAAACTGAAAGGGAAGAACCACTCTGTGGCCAGGTTTTTAGGTTCTTTCCTGCAAAATACATGCACAACTTCTCTGGGAGACAGGATCCTGCTCTAGCTGGATTCCTGGTCTTACAGCCAGTGTGACCAGTTTGGTGCAAAGGGCATCATGGATGCACAGTTTCTGTTATTTTTATAAGGAATAGGTGTATTCTACAAAATAAAGCAGTCCAGTCTGAATCCAAACAGTGCATTTATTGTACTTTAGATGGATTCACATCCCTCTTATGTGTGCAATCCTTGTGTCCATGGAATATATACCCTACCAGTAGTTATTGCCTAACTAGTGGGAGAAGAGGTTTTTAACATTCTTTTAGTTCATTCCCCCATTCTCATTTATCCCAGACTGAGCTGCTCACGAATCTTTTATGTAAGGGTTTATGACTAGACATATCAGGTTTAAATGTTTTGCTTGTTTAATAATTTACAATAAATTGAGGCTAAGTGTTGCCCTTGTTGCAAGTCATCTTGCGGGTTTTTTACACATAAAAGTAGCATTGTAAAAATTAATATTTTCTTTCAATTTATTTCATAGTGTTTGGCTGCTGGTTCAATTATTATGAATCGTGAAATTGAGAGTATGGCCATGAGGCCATTGGCCAAGGATCTGACCCGAAGCCTAGAAGAAGTTAGAAATATCATTCGTGACCAGGCCTTAAGGGATTTGAACCTCTACACAGAAAAAATGAAAGATTCACTCAAGCATTTTGATGTCCTTTTTGCTGAATTTGAATTAAGGTAAAAGATCTAAAGGAAATGCATTGGGAGCACTGGTTTAGCTACCACATCTGTTGTGTGGCTTGTTGGCTTTTGGAAGTTGGCCATTTTGTTCTGTTTTCTTTTTGTGGAGAAAAGTATGTCATTTTTTATCATGGTATTTGAATCCTTCAGTAATTTGTTGTATTGTTAGATTTTGTTCCCTTCCAGTGTAGCAATAATGAAAAGAAAATAGCTTTTTAGCAGGCAACTAAACTATAATATTTCATTTGCATACTGGCATATGGCATTTGAAGAAGTTTTTCCAAGACACAAAAGGAAGCCATAAATCTCTTCTCTTAATGTTTTCTTTGTCAGAGGAAAGGCGACAAAGAAGAGACATTAAAAAAATATGATAACAAATAGTCTAGAGATTATGATGTTTTGTTCTCTTGTGCTCAGAGTTAAAAGCAAGATGCACCCAGTGAATTCAAGAAAGCAAATTGAAATCTGATTAAGGAAGTGCTTTTACACAAGCCATAATTAACTGCAGGAAATGGTTTAAAATGTTATGATTGAGAAATGGCTTGAAGGTTTATAGGAAAAATAAAAATAACTGTTGGGGTGAGAAAAGTAACTGCTTATTGCAATCAAAGGTCACATTGACAGACTCCTGTGTTGTGCTTCAGAATTTAAGCTGGATTTCTGCGTATCTGTTGGATGTTTGTGGTGCTGGGCATAGTTATAGACAGGATGCTGGACAAGGTTATCTATGGATCCAATATAATAAAGTAATTCCTACCTCTAGGAGAACAGGTTTCTTAGAATTTAATAGTGTTTTAATATTTTCTTGGGAATAATCCATAGACTGTCTTGTCTCCCATTACTGTTTGCCCTTCCTCAGTATTCATATTCTCTTATTATTTTACTCAAGTAAGAAGAAACTCAGGTTTCAAAAACTCAGGATTTTACTGTTATATTGAAAAAGGTTTTAATTGAAAACGTTGGCTAAAAACATTTTTACCTGTGGCTTTGAGTGGAGACACCAGTGTCAGTCAGTAACTAGTTCTTGATAGTACCTGTGCACATTTTCTGACCTGTCCATAGCAACTCCATATGCAACATTTTTCTTTGCCATAGCTTTGTAAATAACTTTGTCCTGTCCTGTGTTACCTGTAGTCTACAAATGACTGATTAAGTAATAAGGTGGCAGAAAACCACCTTTACCAGTGTTTCTTGCCTTGTGAATTAGTGCTTTTGTGTGTAATCCCACATAGAAACTAGGCCAATTTTTAAGTCTGCTAAATTGCCTCTGCTGCCCAGCTGAATTTCACCTATAAAATTTCAGGTAGAACCTTTCTAGATAAAAAGTGTGTTTTAGTCAGTTGTTTTTTTCCCTTAAGGAAATGCAGAATAAAATTTTCTATCTTCAGGAGGCAGCAGTAAAGATCCTTCTAGGACCTATCTCCCTGTGCCACGCAATGTGGAGTTCTGGTTGCTAAATATGTCTAATTGTACTTACGAACTACTGAGTTCCTCTGCCTCAATCTGCAATCAGCTGCATTTCTCACAGATTCTTATAATGGACAATTTGTTTATTGACGGCTGTCAAAATAAATACAAAATGGTACAGGAAAGGTTATGTTTCTAAAATTACTTGTCCTAGGTTTGTTTTTACTTATTATCTGATCTGTTAAAGAGGGTAAACCAGTAATATTTTATAATCTCTGTAGTTATGTGTCAGCCATGGTACCTGTGAAGTCTCCGAAAGAGTATTACGTGCAGCAAGAGGTCATTGTACTTTTCTGTGAAACTGTGGAGAGGTAAGCATTTTAGTTAAGTACTAGAATTTCTTTCCTGTGCTTACTTTCAGTCTGAGGTTTTGTAGAAATACTTTAATTGTAGTCTTTAACAAGTATCATGAAACACCAGGTATTTTGCTTTTCTAGTAAGTATCCATGTACAAAGTTAAAAAATATTAAACATGCCTTACTAGGCCAGGCACAGGCCTATGCTACTTTACTTTCTAGACAAAAAAACCCCACCCAAATGTTAACGATCCAACAATAACAATATTGTTGGTGTGCCTAGCTGTAGATGTGTAAATAAATACTAAGCACTTTAAGTAGCTACATCTGTTTCAGGCATCAAGACTTAATGACATTTCATGCAAGAATACATATAGATGATTCAAATCAGCTGTGAGCCTCTAGTAATCATCATAAAGAACTTGGAAAGGCTCTTTAAAATCTTAATAGGACTGGAGCTTGACTGTATGTAGAAGAGATCATGTTAAAGAAAAAAAGCCTAGTGATTCATAAGCAGCTTTTTCATTTGTAGCTTTGGATAATCTGGCAGTGGAAAGAGGAGGGAGTGAGAGTGAGCCACACACTGATGAGTTCATCCTACTGTTAGTACAAAGCAGTGCTTGCTTTGTGGTCATTTTGCTGTCCACGAACAGCAGTAATGGCAGGACAAGTACTGACAAGGAAGAAGAAAAAGTTATTTACATTATTTTCAGGACCAGTCAGATCTCAGCAGGACTAGTGTGCAGTTTTTGAGTATTATCTCATGCACTGATGTGGACAAACCAGAGAATCTGAGTTTGAAGAAGTTACAAAACTTATGAGGAAATAAAGTTATGAAGAAGCTTGTAAAATATAGCCAAGTGAAAAGCCTAAACAAACCAAGTTGTAGTCTGAAAGGGGCTAAAGATATTTGAATAATTAGAGGAAGTGTCCTCCAAATAGTGTATCTTCAGATATGTCAATATTACGTCAACATTGTCAATAATATCTGCTGTGTAAAACTGGGTTGTTTCTTTTAGTTTGGTTTCTTTCTTTGAAGGGGGTGGACCTAGAAGGTTTTAGAAAATTTTATTTGAAAATGAAACCAAATACTTTTCTTCTGTTATCTTAAAAGTGTGCTTTTCTTTTACTTGAAAAACTCTTAAGCCACCAGTGTTTTCAGTTAACAACTTGAAGCTGGACACAGGAAATAAAATGGAAAAGTGGCACAAAAAATATTTTGATTAATATTTTTTAAAGCAGAGACTACAGCAGTCAACTATATGCATAGTGTTTCAGATTGTACCAAAATAGTCCATGAGTTAAATACTAATCTGGTTTGGCTTGGAAAAGTTTTTTCATATTTTTTCCTATTGAAATATATTCTTCTCGAGTTTGATCTCTTACTAAATAATTTTATTCTTCTGCTTAGAGCCTTAAGGCTTGGTTACCTCACTCAAGATATGATAGATGACTATGAACCGGCTTTAATGTTTACAATTCCAAGATTAGCCATTGTATGGTAAGTAATATTTTAAACTACTCTCCACTCTGCCTCTGAAAAAATACTGAAGATTTTAAAAACTTTGTTCCAAATTTCAGCAAATTTTCTTTCACATCAGTTTGCTTGTACTTTTTTTTTAAAGAGGAGTATGTTTTGGTTTATATTGAGGTTTTTTTTATCATTACCAGTTTCATGTGTAATATTAAGAGAAAAAAAGAAAAGGTTGAGCTCTAAATATGGAAGACAGGAACCTGGAACCATTGATTAGTCAACCTCCAGAAAGAAATAAATTAAGAACATCAATCTATAGAGTGTCAGAAATACTTTTTGAATACAGGTTTTTTGTGTGTCTCGAAAACAATATGACTTAAGGAACCTAAGGATACACACCTTGAAAATAAAAAATTTTCAATGCTAATTGTGTATTCTTCTTAATTACTCTTGGTTCAAAAGGAATTGTAATGAAAAACTGCATTGAAACCATGGAGTTAGACTTAAATCTTTTTCAAGGAGAAGTAGTAACATGTATAACTTATGTATAGGTGTGTGCTGTGTATTAATCACTCAAGACATCTGAATTAAAGCAGGCATTTTTGCTTCATGCAGTTTTTGCAATATTGAACAAATCAGATAAACTTTTCCTAATGAGTCTTCATGATTTAATAAGACAGCAGTTTCTCTGGAGTAAAGCCAGCATATTTTTATTATTTTACGATTGTGAATGTTTTAAAGTTAGCTAATATGTGTACTATAATTGAGGGAAATAAGAAACCTCAATTTCTGAGTGTAATACGCTTCTCCTCAGGAAATCCCTGTGGCCCATTGTTCCTGTTAAATAGGATATTGTCTGTAACTGTTATTCTAAAAATAATAACAGCAATAATCTGATTATCGAAAGACAACAGGAATATGAGAACTCAGTTTTAAGCTTCTAGAAGACACAATGAAGAAGAATAAATCGTCACTAACTGTAAAGCCAAGGGCTCTCAGGAAAACAAGCCATATCAATTTGCCAAATTACAAAGGATGGAGAAGGAGAAGAGAAAAAAAATTAACTGCTCCAGAGTATTTGGTGATTTAAAAAGAAGTCACTGACATGTGAAGTTCCCCAGAAAAACTACACTATCCAGATACAATGTTGTCTGGAAAAAATGCAAGCCTTTCATTTAGACTGTGAAAGGAGAAGCCTTGAAAACACAGGACAGGTGCAACTCTTAAGTTGCTGTTCCTCTGTTGTGTCTTAAGGAGAAGGCTGGGTCTGGAGCAAGAAGTGCTGGATCTCCTCAGTCTTCTAATAGCAAAGCCTTAAGGAGTACTCTTCAGAGTAATTTTTGTCTAAGGTTTCCTTTCAGACATTAGTTTACTGGGCATATTACAGGGTGTTACAGTGTCTTAGCAGGTGTTAGTGAACTTTGAACCTAGTAGGTCATTTTAAGACACGCATTTTTTCAGTTTTTAATTCTTTCCATGTTACAACTATATTTAGACTTTGGTTCAGAACTCTTTCAAAGGCCACAGGTCATTCCATACTCTTTTCCTGTAGCGCTCTATCCCTCTTTTACTTTTAAAATATATTCTACCAATTAAACTATATGGGAAGTGAACTGAAAATTGTTAAGGGAATGGTGATTTTGCATCAGTTACCAGTTTGGTGAGAGCAAAGAAGTAACACTTTTTTAAGGCAGAATATTAGTATGTGAGTCAGCAATAACAACTTTGCTTCGTGGCAACCTGCTTTTTGAAGCTCAGAAGGCTTAGGAAAAATAAAAGTATGTAGCCTTGGTGACAGGATAATTTGTCTTTAACAACAACAAAAAAGAGAAGATGCAATTTTTTCTCTCTCTCCACTTACCCCCTTCTCTGCTTCTGCTCTGAAAACTCCAGTCTCCAAGGCAGTGTTGATCAAATTTAGTAGTCAGATTTCTTGGACCCTCAGTTGTCTTGAGAATTCTGAACTTTCTGATGGGCATCTTCCAACCTGATAGGAGACAACGGTACTGTCCTGGTTTATAAACAGAAGAAAAAGAGCAGTATTTCCCAGATGGTAAACAGAGTGTAAGTGGTCCTTTATTTTTAATACTTCAGTGGGATTCATGTAACTTGGAATACTCAGCTTTGCTGCTGTCTGGGAGAGCCTTTGGTAGTCATGCAGGGTGCTTGCTAGTGAACAGCTGGTGAGCAAAAGCCATCAACAGTCTTGTCAGGTGAGGGTTCCCATTACTCTGGATGATTTGGATGCAGAGTAGCTACAATGCTCTGAAGCAACATGTAATTTGAGTGTAAGAAGAGGAACATAGCTTTGAGATACAGGCAGCTCTCAGTTATTCAAGGGCAGGCAGGTGATAAAGATTTGGCTAAAAGATGTAATTTCAAGTGTGAGAACACATGATCCATTTGCCTTTGAGAAACATACATTATTTTTGCAATGGACAGAGGATTAACAGAATGGTGCCTGGTGTGGGTGGAAGCCACTCTCACTGTGCAGTGTGATGCATCAGATAATGGTGAAGAAGGTGAATGTTGTTTAATCCCTGACACATGGAGAGTAGTTACTTGGTCTGGAGGCACCGTTGAGATATCTGTAGTGAAGTACATGAAGGCTTTCAGGACCATGAACTAACCTTTTCCCAGGAAAATGTCTACAAGTGTGAGTTGATTTATGTGTGGTTTTCTAAAAAAAAAAATAAATTAAAAAAATAAATATTTGTGTTTTAGCAAATGTGTTTTCTTCTTTACCACATGTTAACACCAGGTTGTATTTATTTTGGAGACTGAAAAGTAGGAGCTCAAGTCAACTGCCTTACCTAGAAATTATTTAGACTGGAAATAAAAAACCATTTGCATTCTCTCTCAAGACAGTGGACTTTTCCCAGCTTACTTGATAATCAGTTTTTTGTTTGTTTTGGTTGTTGTGTTTTTTAATGGATCAGCCACGGTGATGAAGTAAATGTATGTTCTTCCTCTTATGCTTCCATTGCTTTTTCTCCCAGGCTTTAGGAGTGGTGGACAGGGGCAGAGGGTCTTTATCCTGTCACTTTAATTCTAACTGGGGGTGAATAAGACAAAAATAAGGTAACAGTAGGAAACTTGGGTGTAATTCTGATGTTTCTAAACAGTTGCTTTTCTGACTCCTTATTCAATAGTTGCTCTTTGTAATGAAATTTTCATTTTTGTGTGTGCTTGTGCATTTCTTTGAACAACAGTGGCCTTGTCGTCTACTCTGAGGGACCATTAAACTTGGACCATAAACCGGAAGATATGTCTGAACTCTTCAGACCTTTTCACACTCTGCTAAGAAAAATAAGGCAAGTAATAAGATGGTTGTAACTCGTTCTCTTCTGAAGTGAAAATTGGAGGTGCAAAACCACAAATGCCTAGAAAAGGATTTGTTTGCTAGGTTAATCATATACTGCATTTTCCTCTCACCTGCCCTGATACACCCATGAACTAACTAAATGCAGTTTTTCATTGCAGGAGAGTTTTCTGAACTTTTCAAGTCTTAGTGATAGCTTCTTTTTTTCTGATTTTATGAAATGTCATATTTCCCTTATGATTGGATGATGCCTGAAAAACTAAAGTTGTAGTTTATTTTTGGGAGATCCTGTTTCTAATTAGCATCAATGTTTCTGTTTAACTGGGCTTATTGCATTTTCTCAGTATGTTATGATGCAATACTAAGGTAATTCTTAATCTAATAGAAATTACTATCAGTTTTTCATATTGTCATCATTACATCATTAGAGATGTAGGCTTTGACTCAACTTAAATATAAAGGACATTAAAATACTTAGATGTTGAGATGTTTAGAAGACTGATCTGTTACAATGGAGAAATCAAGCTGTGTCGTTAAAGGATATATATTGGTTTTTATATTTACCCTTGAAGTACCTTATCTGGGTGTTAAAAGAAACTATCTTCTAAATCTGTAAGTCCTACTATTTTCTTAAAATTGAAATGTGTATATTAGCTGCAAATTTTCTTCCTAGCAGTCTCTAGAGACAGTTTAGCAGAATTTTTGCTTTCCAGTGTCCAGTTTTCATCTGTTTATTGCCTTACCTCTCTGTCATGATGACTGTATGAGGTAAGAATGGTTTTCACATAGATAAGTTTATCCAGAGTAATCTCCTCTCACTGGTTAGAGGTGAGGCACCTCCTGAGGGACAATGCAAGCTCTGTCAAGGATGGTTCAGAGAGAAGCCTATTTCTGAACTTAGATTTTATGGATATCCAGACCACATCCTTCTGTGCCCCTTCAAGGTTTCCTGGTATTTCTGTCTAGAACTGATAAGAGTTCTATTTTTAGGTACATCACTAATTGAAATCTCAGAATTGACAAATTAATGTGTTTGTGGCTTTGGGTTGGTTTTTTTTGAGTGATAATGGTTTTATAAAACACTGATTTGAGGACAACTACATGAGTCGAAGACCAAAATTTAAACTGGGGAGAGGGAGGTAATTTTCGTGCTACTGGAGATTAGAAAGTCCATGAAGTTTACATTAAATTATCTTATTTGTGAAATATGGCCATCATAGACATTTTCACCAACATTCCTTTGGCTGGCTAAAGCAAAAATAACATTTAAAAGGTAATATACTTCTCATAATCTGCACTTTCTGCTTACTCCTTACATTTCATAACAGAGAAAATGAAAATCAATTTAGTCAGTGTATTGCTTAGTCCATTTTATTTTCAGTTACTCTAAACTTAATGCTTGGTTTGAGAAAGTATAAGTAAAATTCTTGTTAGTTCAATAATTACAATTTTCAATGCAAACTTCAAAAAATTAGAAGAATCATATTCCTTTTTGGAAGAAGTTCTGATATACTTTAAAATTCACATCATATTTATTCTTTCAAGCAAGCATTAAATGCTATTTCAGTTGTCTAGCAAAGCTTGCAAAGTATTCTTGGTGAGATCACTTAGCAGAGCAAAAATTTAAGCAAGATATAATGTCAGATTTTACCTCTGATAGTCTCTGAATTGAAGGAATGTCAAGGAACTTGGCTGAAAAAGACCCTTTAGTAATATTCTTGCATGAAATATACTTGGAATGAAAGTACCACGAGTTATGAATAAGTGTGCAGTTCATGTAGGATAATTAAAGTAATTTTTGAAGTACCTAAGTGACATTTTATGAGGTTTTTTGTTATTGCAGGGTTTTTTTAGCTCATCAGACTGCAATTCCTACTCGGTGAGAATGTTCTCAGAAACCTGTAAGGGAAGATAAAATGAGATATTTGAGCTCCTCTCCATCAAAAAGGGAGCTGTTTTCCAGCATGAAAATACTTTGACGTGGTCTTCTGTTAAAATACTGCATCTTGTGTTGCAGTTGTGCCTGTTCTAAGAATGTGGAACATCACCTTATTGCAGAATATTGTCACATCCATGTAAATTTCTCCGTAAAGTACTAGAACTTTTTAGCCAACTAAATACTTTAACTCTTGGAGTAACACCCAATACAGAGCTGTTTATTTTGTATGATTACAGTAATTGAAAAACTGTATTATCATAAAAGTTTTCTCCTGGTAAAGGCAGTGATAAGAACTGTATTTCTGTGGATATACAAAGTTAATTCAGAGCTAACAGAGAAAAATATCTATTGGCTAGGAAAATTTCTAAAATCCTGTTGGTGGCTGACAACTTGAAAAACCAATAGTGTGGTGTCTCTGCTCATAGCGCAAGGTTTGGAACCTGATGATCTTTAAGGTCCCTTCCAATATTAACCATTCTATGATTTATAATGATTGTAGAGATTGTGGAGAGCAAAAGCAGTAAAGATTCTCTTTTAGGTTTTAATAAGGCTGAGCAGCAAACTACTACTTTACATGTTTTAATACCAAAGCAAGGTAGTTGTGTTGTTTTTTATTTTAGATACAAACCATCAGCATTGGTGTTTTATACATCTACCAATGAATAATATAGTGCTATCTTTGGTCCTTTTAAGCTAAAACTTTTGAACAATTTCTGCCAAACTACTGTAATCTGTTTAAGTATACAAAGCATATAATCTAGTATATGCATAGATATTGGGGGTTGGACTAGATGATCTTCAGAGGTCCCTTCCAATCTGGACCACCACTCTGTAATTCTCTGATATTCAGATGCTTGTGATGGTGAATATTCTGGTGATAAAATACTACCTGTACTATATATACATTTGAGGCTGCAATATGGAGATTTTCAGAGGTGACCAAACTTGGAATTTCTCAGCATTCCTTAATTCTGCTCTTTTTAGAGCCTGGTGCTTTTCTCTGGACCGTTACAATTGATGGCAAGGTGGACTTTGGTGGTGCAGAGTTAAGTAGATTGCTGGTCAAACAGTGCAGAATCAGAGGATCACACTATTTTAAGTACCCTGCCACCTTTTTTATCATTGACTAGCAACCAGATGCAGTATGCCTGTACCTGCTGTCAGTGTGTAAAAGAATGTGGGAGGACTCATGAAACTCATGTGCTTTTGAAGTGTGCAGGGTGACTGGGGGAAAACTGGTTATGTTTTCCAAGATGGCTGTCTCTAAGACTTTGAGTTGGTTTAACACTTTTGCAATAAAGGAGTAGCAGTGTTATTTGTTGCACATCAGTGCTCCTTTCTCAGTGTTGGTGTATTGGAGCAGTGCACTCTGGTGTGCTGAACTCAGCCAAGCACTGTGGAAGCAGGAGGATGCCAATTGCAGCCCTGTACCTGCATCATGTTGTTGCAGTGGCACCTCCATAAAGACAGCTGCGTATGCTCTGTTTGGAGCGTGAGCTGAAGCACAGACTGGCAATAACAAAAATGCTCTTGTCTGTAAACAGACAATTTAAAATTCTAGTCAGAATAGGAGAAAAGTTAATGAAAGAGGCTTGGAGAATATGCTAGATCAGTCCACCCAGGGCTTTGTGACCCTGTCCCCTCTTTGGTCGAATTTCTCTTTAAATGGACATCTGGCCTTATGTCTTTGAAGAAGTAATTTCTGCACCCTGAATATTGGCAGTAGAGTAAAATATGTTTATTGGTTTTGCAATAGGCAGAATAAATTTCTACTACTGCTTCTAGCAAGCAGAGCACATCTTAAGAACTTATGTTGTTTTTCTGCCAGTAGCTGTGGTTTTAGCCACTGGCAGAAAAATGTTCCTTGCCTTTTCAAGGCTAGATTGCCTTCCTGTGATACTGTGCCAAAGAGTGAAAGCAGGTGAAACCCCACCATGCCCCTTTTTTAGATTCAGTGTTTTCTAAAGCCTTTGTGAGAAGGAAGCTCAAGGCTGCTGTCAGGGTGGATTACAGAAGCATTCTTCGTCTACAGCTTCAGAATAATAAAAGTAGAGGAAGAAATTCTTTTTTCCATCCAAGCACAGCACTTGCTTGGATCCAGTGATGAGTTACAGATGCTTCAGCAGAAAGGAAATGAACTGTGCATGTAACTACAGCTTAATTAAACCTTCTGGTTTAATAATGATGCCTGATGTCTAGTTTTAAGCTTCCAGTAGTGAGATTTAACATTTCTTTCCATACATTGGTTGATACTCATTTTATTCTCAGTATCTAGACAGGCATTTTTAAAACATGCCGTGTTCTTCATGTTGGCATGAATCTTGTATAATTTAATATACAGTGTACCAAAAACATAACTGTTGATCAAGCATTTGTCACCTTGCAACAACCTTGTATTTAAAAAGGCCTGGTGAGTTGTATTCTTCATTTTGTTTTGTTTTTTATACAGAGAAGTGAAAGTAATTGTCCAA